TGGGTATTTTGATTAAAGCTGTAAGACTCTGTTAGAATTGAGTTGGTAAAAAGATTAAAATGAGAACAAAATCCTTGGAAATGTCTTTGGACTTGGTTATTTCGCATAATGTTTGACGAGAAACTTTAGTATGCTCTGATACTTCTTTATGAATTGTCAGAAAGCTTCTGTTTTGTATGTAAAATAGAGACACCTGAAGTAGTCAAGAAGCTCATAAGCTTGGAGCATATGAAAGAATTCAGAATAAAAGTGGTCTAAGTTATAATTAGTGAGTCTCAAGCTCGAGCCTTTTTATCCTTTAAAATCCTTTTCTTTAAGACAAATTTTCCGCATTTTCCACTATGAATCAACATTTGCTTTATAAAGCAAATAGCCTTTAGAAAGTAGTCTGGTCTCTTTTTATGGAATTATCTGCTGAGGAACTCCATTTTCTTGGAGTCCAGCTGACTGCAGAAGCACCCTGCGGTCAGGGGAAGTATGTAAGAATCGGTGAGAGCAGATTCTGATTAAAAAATGAAGCTTTTGGACTGTAAGCTTTAAAGGAGATGTTTAGGAAAAGAAGTCTGTTAACTATGTTGGGTTTTTTTATAGGAACAGTGGCAGCTGCGGCTTGTCTCCACCCTGGCCAATGCATAATCAAAGTGAATGGAATTAATGTCAGCAAAGAGACTCATGCAAGTGTTATTGCTCATGTCACGGCGTGCAGGAAGTACAGGCGGCCAATGCAGGTACGTCTCACTTGGTACCCTTGCAGATTTTCTTCTAAATTTTTTTTTTTGGTCAAAATAAAGAGTGTGGTGTGTATCTCTGTCCACGTATCTGTTGTGTTTGAGTGTGATGAGGGGAAAGGAGTGCTGAATAAAAGCGAAGGGAAGCCAGTTGAATTATAAAAGCTGAAGATTGCTCAATATATTGCTGATGTTCAAGGTCTATTTAATTTGTACATTGAAATAAATCTAAACTATAGCTAATTTTTTTAATATGGTATTTTTAAAGTGTTTCTGCAGTTCTCGGCAGAAAGCGTTACGAGGTATATTCTCATCATGATGGAGAGGGATTTACACAGCTCGCTGTCTGCTCAGCTGCATGAGAAGGCAATGCAAAAAGCTGATCTTCTTCCAGAATTTTGTAACACTTCAACATGTAGAGAGCAGAGTGCACATATTCCATCTATAAAAGTCTCTGTGTTCCCATTGCATTCCAATCTTGGGAATAAACATACATTCAAGGACTCAAAATTTCACTTTTTTTAATATAAGCATGCAATTATTGTTATCTTTTTCACATTAGTATAGGAGAAAATCTAAGGCTTCTGAGACATAAATTTAAGGAAGAAAACCAAAACCAGCTGGATTCTATAACGTAATTTTTCCAAGTCCCTGCAAATTTTTCATGAACTGTGAACCAATATCATTAATTAACTTCACAAACTCTTCCAGTGCATATTAATTGCGAAGAAAAATCCAATTAAAATCAAGAGTGAAATCCTTCTCCCACACCTACTGCACAGCTATGAGATAAGAATTCTAAGTAAGAGTTAGTTACAACTGTGTCATGCAAATACAGTCTTTATGAAAATGTTTGTCTGGATGTTTGTGTTCAAACTCTAATACAGAATTGAAGTTGTTACATAGCATATCAAGATCAAGCTCACCTATTCTTTAAAGGAAGATGTGCTCTAGGAAAGAGAGGGTGCTTTGTGCACTAGTAGCAAAACTGGCTAGAATAAAAGATAAATTAAATCCTTTATAGCAGGTGTGTTCTCTCTGTGTATAAGTGTGGAGTTCCTATAGAGATTAGTGATGTCCAAAGAGGATTGATTAACGTAGGCTGGCGTGAATGCCTTGACATGCAAAATTACTGTTTTTTTAATCCACTTGTGTAGTATGTTGGAGTACAAAACTGTTTTTCCTATACAGAGTATTTATTTCAATCTAAAAAAGTAGCTGATCATAATTTGGCAAATCGCAAATAACTAAAATCCCCCAGACTGACAAGAAAAACTTCATTTAGGATGTAGTGCTATCAAATGCTATGGGAGAACTGTCTAGACTGAAATAAATGGCAGTATTCCCACTGGTGTCAAGACAGCTAAAATTTCATTTCCTATTCAGAAATTTGGGTTTTTAATTATTTGGAAGATGACTATGGATCATTTAATTAGCACGAATATTGCAGTCTCTCCTGTGGTTGGCAATTGCATAATTGAAAGGGGATCTTTTTCTGTTTCCTGTATATTCCACTTCTCAGGGTGAGGAGTGTCCCTGCTTGCCTGGAGTGTGAAGTTTCATTTCAGGTTCTTGCAGTGTGAATAACTGTGTAACTTCTGTTGGACAATGTTTATATTCTTTCTGTCTTGTCTGGATAAAGAAAATTGAAAGCACATTTTACTTCTTCGAATTACGTACAATTTCTTTGCAGTGATACTGATCATGGTGTGACAGATTTATGTTTAGTTTGTGCTTCTGTAATGCTTTTGGAGAACATTGCTCCAAATCATGTTGCATTATATCCTGTGTTAACTTTTGAAAGAGGGACTGCCAGTTTAAGTAGTTAGTCCTTCCATTAGGCCATATTAAGTTCAAATAATGAAGGAACCCTTTGACATAATGTAAATCTCCTGTTAGAGATTGGCATGGCAGTTTTAATGCTGCCAAGCAAACCTGTAAGACTCCATAAATAAGCAGCAAGCTTTCAGGTATACCTGCAAAGAAGTGTGGATTTCAGAAGTGTTTCTGTCGATCAGCTTGTGCGCAGGTGTCTTCCAACAATCAACAGAGAGCTCTGAAAGTTAAGCTTCCTTATTAAAATATTTCAGTGCCATTGAGTGAAAAGTAAGGCATGGATGAATCTAGGAAACCTAGAGAGAAATAGTAACTTGATCATACAAAAATTGTTGTCTATGATTAATGGGATAAAGGTAGCGGCTGAATACTGTATGTTAGCAAAGCATAATCGGATGTACTTGGCATTTTGCGTGAAAATTGCAACGTTCAGCTGAAACTTCTGCTATCCTTGCTTAACTTTGAATTCTTCCACAAACTTCTTTTTAAAGTCTATGAATTCAGATTAGTCATAATCATGTCATTTATTCTGCTGTAGCTGTTGAAGAGGGAGTGATTAACTGACTGTCAAGCTTCTTTTGAAGTGTAAGAGGAAGAGAAGAGTAGTCTGGAGATGCCACGCTTGCTAGGCCCTTCCACAAGGATGTGATGGGCATGTGGCTGAGTAAGTGAAGGGGAAGAACAAGACGTAAGGCTGTCCTGGTTTTGGCCGGGATGGAGTTAATTTTCTTCCTAGTAGCTGGTACAGTGCTGTGTTTTGGATTCAGCATGAGAATAATGTGATAACACACCGATGTTTTAGTTGTTGCTAAGCAGTGCTTACACTAGTCAAGGACTTTTCAGCTTCCCATACTCTGCCAGCGAGGAGGTGCACAGCTGCCAGGACAGCTGACCCAAACTGGCCAAAGGGATATTCCATACCATATGACATCATGCTCAGTATATAAGCTGGGGGTAGTTGGCTGGGGGGCAGCGATCGCTGCTCAGGGACTGACAGGGCATCAGGCGGCAGGCGGTGAGCGGTTGCATCACCTCTTGTTTTTTTTTTCCTTCCTGGGTTTTGTTCCTCTCTTTCTCTCTCTCTCTCGTTGTTTTACTTTCCATTACAATTTTTTATTGTTGTTGTTGTTATTATTATTTTATTATTATTTCAAGTATTAAACTGTCCTTCTCTCAACCCACGAGTTTTCTTACTTGTGCTCTTCCGATTCTCTCCCCCGTCCCACCGTCGGGGGGAGTGAGCGAGCGGCTGGGTGGTGCTTCGTTGCCGACTGGGGTTAAACCACGACAAAGGCGTACACGCGGCTTCTTCATAGGTTGTATGACCAAGCTTCCATTCCTGTGCTCACGTGTCACTCAGTCACATAAGATGCTGGACTTTTGGGGCCTGCAATTCTGTCCTTTTGGGGGGTTTTGCTAATCTGGGGGAAAAATAAAGAGCATCTAGTAAAACAACTGTGGTAAAGGCAAATAGAAGTAATGACGGCTGTAGTGTATATTCTTGCCAGTGACACATGGGTGATAGATTAACTGGACATGCTATATCTTTGGTTGGTATTCCATAATACTTGCCAGGAGATTTGTGGACGCACAGCAGATTTAGCAAGGCAAAAATCGGTTCTCTTTATTTTTTCACGATTTCTTGTCTCAAATATTTTTCAATCTGCAGTTTGATTTGAAATGTCTTAAATTATTTTTGGCAGAGACATGAAACTGATGGATGTCATACTGTCACAGATTTCACACTGTCTCATGACAGTGTACTCTGAAATAAAAAATAAGTTGACAAAATGCTTCAGATGGTTTTAGACAAAGCCAAAATTCTCTGTAATTTTCAAAATACTATTTTTAACTTGGAGATCAGAAGGCAATAATGCTGATAATAATCAAGGAATTTAAGCAACTATTTCATGTTTGAGAGCAGTGAAATAAGTTGCTATCAATTGCATTTGCAAAGCTTTTCCTAGCTGTCTTTTTTTTGTTGTTTTTTAGCAAGATTCTATACAATGGGTTTACAACAGCATTGAAAGTGCACAGGAAGATCTTCAGAAAACAAACACCAAGCCCTCTGGAGATGATGGAGGAGATGCCTTTGACTGCAAAGTGGAAGGTGTGTGGTGCTCGCTTTGATTTTGTTGTTGCTGAGAACGTTGGTGGTGTAGCAAGGAAAATATAGGCAGTGGTTTTGTTTTCAGAGAGGAAATTGCAGGCAGACCGTAAGATGCGTTTTACATAAGGATTTGCTTTTTTATGTATTTTAAAGATGCAAATTTAACATGCTGTTCTCTGAAAATTACTGTATTTCCCATTTCAAGAAAAAGCTTCTATGAATACTTCAGGGAAAAGCTATTCAATTTTCATTCATAGGATACATAATCCTAGGAATTACCTGATTTATTTTCACCCCTAGTAATCGTTTAAGGCTAAATTAGATGCATTAGTCACTACTGCATGAGAAATAACAAATCAGCTATCCTTCAGATTATTTTCAGGCAATTAACATTTAGGTAAAGCTGCATTCATATGCATCATGGTAATTAAAGAGACAGTTAACATGTGAACTGTATTTATGTTCTCTGGGTAAATGCTGATACTGTGGTTTCTTTTCTGAATGTTGACACTTTTCATGGCCATTTTCTTCTAGTTTATTTAGAAGTTCTCATTTTTCCCTTTTTTTGTTGCTTTTTTATGTCTCTGGATTATAAATGAAATTGAATTAGTCCCCTTCAATAACTGCTTGTATGTAAAGAGAGACCACTGTGACTTGTCTGTTCATGCCTCTTTAGCAATCTAGTATTTTAGCATCCATAAACCTACTGGTGTTCTGATTTTTAAATCATTCAGCTGGTAGCTGGGTTTTTTGATGAATGTTTTTAAATAGAATGATTGCAGCATACCTGTTTCTAGAACATTTGTCTGTGTCCTTTTTAGTGTGTTTAATGGCCAACCTTCTTCAACTGATTTGTGTTATTTTCTTTATTCTAGAGGTAATTGACAAATTTAACACTATGGCAATAATTGATGGGAAGAAAGATCATGTGAGTCTGACTGTTGACAATGTTCATCTGGAGTATGGAGTGGTTTATGAGTATGACAGCACAGCTGGAATAAAGTGCCACGTGTTAGAAAAAATGATTGAACCAAAGGGATTTTTCAGCTTGACTGCAAAGGTATGAAGCAATTTTTGTATGTATTAATTCTTACTATGCTTAATACCAATGGAGCAACATCTGTCTTTTGCTTATTCTTAGGATTATATGTATTTCATTTAATATCTTGTAATTGGTCGCCTTTATCCCTCTGACATTTTGGAGGACAATTGTGTACTCAGGAAGCAAACTAAGTTATGGTGTGGTTATAAATTGAGCCTCTAAACTGAAAAAATGTTAAAGGACTTTTAAAGTTTTCCATTCCTCCTGCCTCTCTCCCTTTTTTCTTAATTATCACATAAAACTTGAAAGTCAAAGACTCACTGAAATGTCAAAATTTAGTGAAGGTAGGCTGTAGTTTCCAAAAATTACTTAATCTCATCAGAATTGCATGTGCAACTTTTAAGATTTGTTTCAGTAAAAGGAGTAGCACAGCATCTGTCTTTTCTGTCTCTGATAGTAAAATAAAGCTGTGCACATACAGGCGCACAGACATTGGCAAAATCACAGAAGAAGAAAAAAACCAAGTGCAACTTTAGAGTTTACTTTGGAGTTTTTATTTTGTGAATATTTCCAAATGGTAAAATCTGTGATTGCTATGAATGGGATGTGAAATTTTTTAAATATATCTGGTATTGTCTGGGTCAGATTGACAAATAATGTTGTAATACAGCTCTTTTACTAAGTTTGTTTTTATCTTTTCACACACCTATGCATACTAACAAAGCATGCTTAATATAACTGTGAAAGCCCAAACTTTTGGGGAGTGTATTGATATCTGCAAATTTCTTTTTCTGTTGATCTTTCTATCAGAACTGTAAACTAAAGTACTGATCTTTTCCTGAAATGACTGAGGCATGGGCACGTGTTTCTTTTCCCTGACTTCACTTGGGAGCAGGTCAGGTTGACAGACAGGGGAGTAACTTCTTCCACCAACATCCTGAGATTTGGTAGAGCTGGTCTAGTCGATGCTTCAAGTCATTGGCCTGAAAGATGTTAATTCTGTAATTACAATTTCATATAAAATGTTTAAGGTATTATTTCCTAACTGCTTAAGAAGTATTTTTCCATTGTTGTACATGGAGTAGTTAAGTAAAGAAGTGCTTCCAGCACACTGATTCTGGCCTTAAATAATGCAGTGTCATCACCCTTAGTGTTTAGGCTGGCTAATTAAATATTCAGAAATGATTAAAAACAATAAGGAGATGTAATGTGACTATGTTAGAATAATATAATGTTTCTGTCAAGTCATGGTGGTCTAAATGACTACAAAAGGTCCACCGTTAGAAAAACCAGGTGCCTTAACTCAAAGGCAATAATAAAAATTGTAGTGACACTTCATCAAATATAACTGTCTGCAAGTGGTTTTAAATACTCTAAACATAAACTCCTCTGTGCGTTCAGTGGGGTCTTATGCTTCTCTCCATATGCTTCTTTCTCTCTTTGTGTATTTATTGTTGCTTTGCATTTTTAAACACCTCTATTCTGCATCATATGTAGCAGGGGAGTGAAGTAATCCTGGACTACTTTCCTATCTTATCCTTTCCTATGTGCAAATTTTTGTGTTAATTATTACCATGAGAAATTATCCAAAGTTGTGCTGCAAAAGTTACTGGTTTTGCATGCACTTATTTTAATGTACAGCTGTAAAAAAATCCACTTGAATTATTTAAATTTGTATTATTAATAAAAACTGACATAAAGGAAGCTTAAGAATGTGACCAAAGTGACTGGGGTGTTTTAATACAGTAATTAAACACTGCAGAAGAAAGGCTTTCCTTAATTCATCCTGCTGGGGACCTGAGAAAAAAATTCTCTCAGGATCTAGTAATTTATAATCTGTGACTTCTTAAAAACTTGGGATTTTGCAGTCCAAAATTTCTGTACATTGTTGTTTTTTTCTAAACTCCTTGGTCAAGCTTATAAATCATATATTACATCTGTGATGGTGGATAGTACATTAATGAACTGTAGCAGAAGTGAATTACAGACATGAGTCCCATGATGGATTAATATTGTATGTGCTGTTTGTCCAGATTTCTTTGAGTATCTCTAAAATGCGAGCCTTTTCTTATTTAGGTGCCTCATCTGGATTTTGGGTGCCTTTGTTAGAAAGTAATTTTGGGTGTGTTTTTCAAACATATCTTCAGAGTTGGACCCAACCAGCAATAGGCATCTCCCAAGTTCCGTAACACAGTGAATTTCAATGCCTGAAATGTAACTCTAACTCCAAAAAAAGGGCTACATACAACCCTCATGTCTTCAACATGCCTTTTTTTCAGTTTTCTATCACCATCATTTCCTGGTGCTATTTCCATCATAGCAAGACTTCAGTCTTTGCAGGGCGGTATAGCTTATTCTGTTCCCTATTTCCTGTTTATATATGCAGAATATACAAGAGGATAGCACTCAGTTTTCTTGTGTGCTTTTTCAATGCGTTAGTATCACTTATACTGCCAGACCAAAGTTTTGCTACAAATAATGAATTAATTCATCAGCTTTGCATAATATGTGCTGTTCAAGTAAATACAGCAGATAATGGATTTCAGAGGAGCCATAGTGGTTACATTAGTAGGAAATTAGTAGTAAATCCATTATCAGACAATGTCATGAGAAGCCAAATAAAAGTACTTATTATGGGTATAACTTATGCAGGGGATAGATTTAAAGAAACCTCTTAGCTTCCCAAGTTTCATTAATTGTTGTTATGCAGCACTGCCTGTAATTTTAAAAGGCAACTGATTATCAGGCTTTTCAGCTTTAATTATAAGGGATGATAAGTAAGGGGTTAAGTAAGGGGTTATCTTGGTCATCTTATTTCATAACATACTGCTCTTGTTTTTATTATCTTAGATTCTTGAAGCACTGGCAAAAAGCGATGAACATTTTGTGCAGAATTGCAACAGCCTCAATTCCTTAAACGAAGTGATCCCCACTGAGCTTCAAAGTAAATTCGGTGTCATTTGCAGTGAGAAAATTGAGCATATCTACCGAAGAATCTCTAGTTATAAAAAGGTATGACCGGCATATCCTAAGCTTGGTGATATTTGTCTTTTAAGGGAAAAACAGGGGAATGTGGTACAGTTTGAATAACTCTTCAAAATGTCTATTGCAATGACAAAAATGTGGCTGAAAGTTTAGCTATTTTGAGGCGTGAATGCCTAAACTGAGTAATTGCATAAATTGACTTCAAACCGTGCTTTTTATTATCCCTTTTTTAGACACTGGGTAGATCGTATCCTTTCTTGTTAGCTGCGTTCGGTTGTAGATACAATCGACTGCATATTTCCCACAAAAGGCCCAGCATTCTTGTAAATGCCTTAAACCAATACTCTAGTGAATTTGCAGATGTTAACCAAAAATGAAGCAATAACAGCAGAGTTGTTTTTTCCTTCTAATGCATCTTAATTTTAAATACCAAATTTATATACCAAATTTATATTTTATATAATACCAAATTTAAATACCCTTTTATTCATCTTTTATACCCTTCAAAATGGTATGACTTTTTCTAGCATGACTATTAATAGTAATAGCTCTGTAAATTGTTAGATTAACTTGGGTTAATAAAACATTATAGCATACACTGACTTGCATACACTTGAGATCTAAATTAATGAGATGTGAATGAATAAATAACCCAGAGTATGACCTCTAGTTGCTGTCAGTGTATTTCTCGATAGTTGTTTAGCTAAGCAGGGCATAAATGAATCAGCCACTTGCCAATTTGTTAATGCAAACTTATTTTCTCGTCCTGGCTTCTGGTTCCTATCCCATACAACCTAATTCTTGGGAGTTTGGAACTAGTTTGAAGTAGGCCCAAAATGGAATCATAGAATCATAGAGAATAGTTTGGGTTGGAAGGGACCTCTAAAGGTCATCTAGTCCAAGCCCCCTGCTGTGGGCAGGAACATCTTCAACTAGATCAGGTTGCTCAGAGCCCCATCCAACCTGACCTTGAATGTTTCCAGGGATGGCGCATCCACCACCTCTCTGGGCAACCTGTGCCAGTGTTTCACCACCCTCAGCGTAAAACATTTCTTCCTTATATCTAGTCTGAATCTACCCCCCTTTAGTTTAAAGCCATTGCCCCTTGTCTTGTCGCAACAGGCCCTGCTAAAAAGTTTGCCACCATCTTTTTTATAACCCCCCTGTATAGTACTGATACTATATATCCCCCTATAAGTACCGAAAGACTGCAATAACGTCTCCCTGAAGCCTTCTCTTCTCCAGGCTGAACAACCCCAACTCTCTCTGGTTAGACAGAACTGGCTCTGCCCTGCCTCATCTCAGCTGGGGGTCTGAGTTGTGACATTTAGAGACTGGTCTGTTCTGAGAGTTAATATGCAAAAAATTGGAAAAAAAAAAAAAAGGAAAAAGAGTTTCAACATAGAAGCTTCACACAGTTCTAAAAGTTGCATGGAAAAGAACAGATAATGTTTTCTTGTTTTTCAAAGGAAAAGGAGGGAAACCTGTAAGGAAAACCTGTAGCTTCAGTAGGATGAAGGCCAAAAAGTGGCTTTCCAAAGACTTTTCAGGGTGCTCTCCGACAAGGAATGGAATAAACTGAGGAGTTGAGTCACAGAAGAAGACATCAAAAGGATTCTGATACTGTGTTACCAAACATCCGATCTCTCCATTGTTTGCCTGAATTATAAACCTCCGTGTTTTCAAATTGATTAAAAATCAAAATATCTTTTTTAAAAAACAAATTCATAGTTTTGACATTAATAATAGTGTATTTAGAGTTCGCATAACATGTAGGTGGTTTATACCTTTCCTGTAGCCAAAAAATTCTAGCATGATGTACAGTCTCTTTACAGGAGGCCAAGACAATAGATGAAATTTTGAGTTATGCTGGATATGAAACGAACAGCCTTGGGGAAGTTTTCATAGTGCTTATACTGTCTAGAAGCAGATATTGCTGATACAAACTGCACTTTCAAGCTCATCTGCTCAAAAATCAGTAGTTTCACAATTACAGCTTTTAATGACAATTAGTAACGCAATGAAGTTCAGGAATAGATATGTCGTTTTCCTGGCAAGGTAAAGGTAACCATAGTTACGGGAGAGTTTCGGAGTGCCTGAGCCCGGCTTGGCTCCTGGTTTCACTGTGAAAGTTTGAATTCTATAAATAGAAACCCTGTAGATTTCTGTACTTCCTACTATTATTATTATCATCAGAACATTTTGCTCATAATAGACCTCGACTCCAGTGCCATGAGTCCCAGATGTTTCTCAACACATATATGAAAAAAATTTTGGGCCTGACTTATGACCTGATTAAATCGTAGCCAGGCATTTGGTCTCTCTGGAGCAGGATGTGTGGGAGATGGAGATGTGAAATATGCAGTGCTTGCAGGAACATTTTCATCGTTGAATGTCCTTAGTGCCCTTCTTAACTATTTGTACATTCTTCAGCCTTTGAACAAGTCCATAATTGGATTTCTTGTAACCTTCCAGATCTTGTCCTGATATAAAGATTTACATGTAATTAATCAGTCAAATGTTCATCAGGCTGAAGTAATATGACACCAAAATAAACAGAAATTTAAATCCCAGGACAAAAACCTGTTACTACTCAGAAGGGACATACCTTTGTTCAACTGAAGTGTTAGTCAAAACTTGACTGATTGAATTTGTACTGACATTTATTAGGGAAGGAACTTTGCAAGTTAACTTTGAAAATATTCTTATGCATGAGCTATGCTCCATAGCTGAGGTAGGTCTGTGCAATATTTTGACTGGAGAGATGCTGTGATTAAAATACCAGAGACTTGGAACTGATTATGTCTTTCCCAGAAAAAATTCTCCCCTATCAACAAACTGCACTGGAAAGGACACATTTTGACAAAAATCCTACATGTGACTGACAAGTCTTTTTTCCACTGGGAGAGCTTGATCTCATGACTTTTATGATTCTGAAGTAGGTGTATTTTCCAAGTGTCCAAATTTAGTACAGTTTCAGTCTGAGCCATTTTGGGTTGACATCCTCTCATCTTAAAAAACAAATAACTAAGCCTGTTCAAGAGTGTGCACAAAATTTCAGGTGTTATAGTGAAGGAGATGTGGCTAAGCACTGTATTAGAATTAGGCTATAAAACAGAGGGGAAAAAAAATGTTCATCATTGCTGAGCTGATACATGGGGGAGAGAAGAGGTGGTGGACTAGCAAAGTCTGTAAAATATGGTGTTTGCAATTTTTATGCTCTAATGTTTATCAGCTTCACAGAATCACTCAAAATCACAGAATGGTTGAGGTTGGAAGGGACCTCTGGAGGTCCAACCCCCCCTACTCAAGCAGGGCCACCTAGAGGTGGTTGCCCAGGACTGTGTCCAGGTGGCTTTTGAGTATCTCCAAGGAGGGAGATCTGACAACCTCTCTGGGCAAGCTGTGCCAGTGCTTAGTCACCCTCACAGAGAAAAAGTGTTTCCTGATGTTCAGAGCAGAACCTTCTCTGTTTCTGTTTGTGCCCGTTGCCTCTTGTCCTGTCACTGGGCACCACTGAAAGGAGCCTGGCTCTGTCCTCTTTGCACCCTCCCTTCAGGTATTTGAGTACATTGATGAGATCCCTCTGAGCCTTCCCTTCTCCAGGCTGAACAGTTGCCGTTCTCTCAGCCTTTCCTCATAGGAGAGATGCTTCAGTCCCTTCATCATCTTAATGGCCCTTCTCTGGACTCTCTCCAGTATGTCCATGTCTCTCCTTTACTGGGGAGCCCAGAACTGGACCCAGCACTCCAGGTGTGGCCTCGCCAGTGCTGAGCAGAGGGGCAGGATCACCTCCCTCCACCTGCTGGCAATGCCTCTCCTAATGCAGCCCAGGAAACCACTGGGGGGACTTCATCCTTCCTGAATATGAAATTCATAATTCATAGCTTCCACTTCTGTCTTTATTATAGCTTCAGGCAAAAATTTCAGAAATTTTTGCAAGACATTGACTTGAAAACATCTATGTCAGCAGGTGTTTTTAAATGTCATGTGCACAACAGCACTGGATCATAGAGCGTAGCCAGACTTTCTTCCCAGGAAGACACTTTTATACATATTTTATTATGTTGCAAAGAAAATAAATTCTCTCTCTTTGTTACAAGGCTATTTACATTTGTAAATATCATTTACTTCAAAAACCAACCCCTCAAAAATATAAAATGAAAAATATTTTTTCTTTCCCTTGTAGAGAAAGATGGAAATTATGAAGTCAAGGCATCTGAAGTCAAGGATGCCTGAAATACTTTAAACTTTTGTTTTCTAGTCAGGTACACAAGTTTTGTCAGCCAAGTGCTGACACATCAAAAGCTGTTAATCAAAATTTTGTTTTCTTTCTCACTTCCAGTTTTCAAGAGTATTAAAAAACAGAGCTTGGCCTACCTTCAAACAAGCTAAGTCAAAGATTTCACCACTTCACAGCAGTGATTTCTGTCCAACCAATTGCCATATCAATGTGATGGAAGTGTCCTACCCTAAAACCTCAACTTCCCTTGGTAGTGCCTTTGGTGTACAGTTAGACAGCAGAAAACATTCTTCCCATGAAAAGGAAAATAAAAACACTGATCAAGGTAAGTCAGCTGAGCTTGAAAGAACTACTTCCAGTCCTTCTGATAGAGTCTTAAAAGGTAACTGGTTTACGTTTCTGTCCCAGATATGAAGATTAAGGACAAGCCTTTATGAAATCCCCCTATTTTCGATACTTAGGTTTATTTTAAAGCAAAATAAAGGCCAGTCATAATTTCACAATAACTTTTTCCTTAAATAGCTTGACTTTGATATGCAAAATAAAATGCAAAATAAAATAATTACATGAAGTTTTAAGCAGGAAAATATTTCAATGTCTGTTAGGTATTCTACTAACTTCAAAATGTATGTTGAAAAGATGAAAATGATGTAACCTCTTTGGATTATTCCCAGGTAAATTGAATCCCATGATTTATGTCCAACATACCATTACTACTATGGCTGCCCCTTCAGGACAGTCTCTTGGCCAGCAAGAGGGCCATGGTCTGAGGTACCTCTTAAAAGAAGAAGATTTAGAAACACAAGATGTCTATCAAAAATTGCTGTTCAAATTACAAGCTGCACTGAAAGAGCTGGAAACCTGTGTCTGTCAAATAGACGAGTAAGTAAATGTTACCATCTAGACTTGCTTTTAATTTTTCCATTGAAGATACTGATAAATTTGGGTATCCTTTTTGTGTAGTGTAGGATGAATGTTGGCTTCAGATAGAATTGAAATAAGGCAGAGAATTTAAGTGTAGGTAATATTATATTTTGTTCTTTTTCCCAGCGTCCCTGATTTTTTCCCACTTCAGTTTGTAGCTTTTCTCTAGAATGTGGAAATGCTAATTATTTTGAGGTGAGAGAAATATGAGGCCCACGTCATCTAAAATTTGACTGGGAATGGAAACAAAGGGCAGAGGTATGAAAATAGCTTTTATTGAACTCTTCAGGTATTGCTGAATAGTCCCAAAGATGAACTTGTAGGTAAAGCATTTTTTACCCATAGGAAGATTATTAATTTGTTAGACAGTTTTCAAAAACAAATTGGCCTTAATGAAGAACTATGGATCTAGGGAGAGCCACTCTTGAGTGATTAGGACACTTGGCTTGAATGTGGGAGACCCAGAGTCTCACCGTATTCTGTCCTAATTCAGGACAAGGATTTAAACCTTGTTTTTCCATTTGTGAGATAAGTGGGTTGACTGCTAGGCTATTTGCTGTCTTGGGATGAGGATGAAGAAGGATGATAGGTCTTTCAGTTTTGAAAGATCCCATATGTAATGCAAATGTCAGAAATTATTCATTTTGAAAATATAAATAACATAACTTTTTGAGTTTAAAAGCCAATCTTTCATGATCTCCAGTTTGGAAAAGTGTTGTATCATTGCTTCTCCTGTTATTTTGAAGACCGTACAATGATTTGTCCTTTCATAGTTATTTCAGAGTGGGAATTTTTTTGTATTGTTCTAATAGTAATGTAACGTCATAGTTACACAGTAATAAGTAATTGTAATGTATTCCATACTGCAGTAGGAATGAAAGTAAGAGTAGCCTCAAATTTCTTAAAGAAAATGTTTTCTGTGCCTTTACGTAGTTCTGCTAATTATCATGCTGAAGATGAAGTCAGTTAATTAAATTTAAGATAATTTCAGTGCTTGGGTACACTTAAAAATGACTGTCTGTAAAGTCTGTATTGTCACTCTTCTTCAAGGAAGTCAGAAAATTATATATGGAAGTTCAGTCAATATTTCAGGATTTTCCAGTTACCAGTCTGCCACGCCTTTCCTTTCCACTCGCTTGAGCCTGTGATGCAAAACCACAGGAACTTCTGAGCCTTTCTTTCATACACATGTATATATAACTACACACACATATGTATTGTGTGTATAGGTATATACATACATATATACGTATTTTCATTTTGAGAGTCACACAGTTGTGACAGTAAACACAAGGGTTCACTTTTTTTTCTTCCATAAATTTCCTGTACACTGACCTTGTAGCAGATCTTGTATAAGGTGCACAGGTTTACTTAGCAAATTTTACCTTTTGCTATTTGTAAGACTGAGACTTTTCATGCTTTATTCCTCACAGATTTTGAGTGGACTGCCAGTGTGTAATTACTGTGGAGGAAAGTGGTTCTATACAGAAAACAGGATAGCCAAGGGACCTACTTAAAAGTGCTGAATAGGGAAGAGGGAAGCTGGGACTATCTGGGTGTGAGCAGTTCAGCAGTACATGGTGTATTATATTAGAACATAGTTACAGCTACTAATTACTCTTGAGAGAAAAGTTAGGACTACTAAGAAACAACAGATAGAGTAACAAGATAGGATAATCGAACAGCTGTGCTTTAATTAGAAATATTCATACTTCAGCAGCTAGGAGGAAATGCTTGAACATACCGATCCTTGAACTTTATAAAGACTGTAGAACTTCTGTTTTCTGTTATGACATAGCAACAATAAAATTGATGTCTTTATTTACTGAATTGCTTATTATTATAAGCAATCCTCGTTATTATAATTTTCTCAGGACAGAAAATATGAACACGGTATCACAATTCTAAATTTATATGGTATTGAATGATAGAAAAATTGGGCTACTAAATGACTCTTTGGTACCCTTTATAACAGTACTGTTGAAAAACCATTGCTCTTTCATGTTACTAGATGTCTCTGCTCTGTGTTGAGGTCAGTAATGGTCTCTCTCTCAACTCCCAAAATCTTGGGGCAGTGTTATCTGCCCAACCTCTCCTTATCTTCAATTCATTATCTTTCATTCATTAATACAGTGTTATCTGCCCAACCTCTCCTTATCTGTTAATGAATGAAAGTGAACTGAAAAACAAGTGTTTCACCTGAAGAGCAGGTCTGTGAGACCTTGTGGATTATGGGAAGGGAATGTCTAGGAGAAGGTTGTGTACTCCTAGCATTATCGTCATAATAACTTTTGTCATGGCTTGCTGATGAGATTGGGTCTTAGAATCCGTGAATTGGGTTTCTAAGAGCATTTCAGTGACCTCAGGAACCACCAGCTCCAGAACTCTGTTATCAGCTCCTTCCAGTACTGAAGGAGCGAGAAAGAGACAGACACAAAAAAGACATATGTCCCCTTTCCACAGTCTCTCAAAGTTCCACTGACTCCTCGTCCAAATAGTTTAATAGTATCCCAGTACTTCTTTAGTACCATTGCCAGATGCCCACCCTTGATGCTAGGTGTTATACAGAAATAAGTCCTTCTTCAAGTTGTTTTCTATATGGTGACTCTGCTGTGTTCTTGGTTCACATGCACTCAATGTGCTCCCACGATCCCAGCTGTTTTTTGGAAAGATGTCTGTTGGGAGTATACAAGAGGCTTGAACGTTTTCTGAGCCTGCGTGGAGTGAGGAAAAGGCAAAGCAGCTCAGAGGTTGCAGAGGTTTTTTGTTACTGCCTGTGGCTATCCATTTTTAATGCTTTGACTGATCATAGCAGGTTTTGTTTGTTTCTGACATACTTTTAGGATTGTGTTGATTTGGGTTGCATATAGGATTAATTCCACATGTGAGGATTTTTTTGGTTGAGATTTAAATTTCTCTGTTTCATGGAAATTTTCGTCATAGTTACAGAGACTTTCTAGCTGTTAGTTACTACTCATTCACATATTTCTCCTATGAGAGATAGACGTCTAAGATAATTTTGTTTGCGGTAGACCCATCTCCAAAGAAAATATAATGTGCATGTGCTGTGTTTAAAAAGAAAAAAAAAACCCCACTTAAAAAAAAAAGTCTATTTAAGCATGATTATTGGGGGGGTTTTGCATCCAGGTTTGGGTTTGTGTGTCTTAGAATCTGTGAATTGGGTTTCTAAGAGCATTTCAGTGACCTCAGGAACCACCAGCTCCAGAACTCTGTTATCCAAAGTTCCAGCTTTAGTCCATGGTAGTTCAGCAAAAAAATTTTCCTTAGAAAAAGCCTGCCTGCTGAGAGAAAGTGAAAAGCTCCGTTAGGAAAAGCTCCAGCTACCTTCATCAGTCTTTACTGAGATCTTGGCAGCAGTGACTAAACAGTCTCATGAAAGAAGAGGATGTAATAGTCTGTCTGTGTCTTGACAAATAATTACTCAGGGGAAGATATTTTCAGGAGCTGAAATTGCAGTTCATTATGCTTGTTTCTTACTCTCGATTATTTTCTTGCAACAACAAAATCCACAAGAAATTACCAGAATGGATCTGCCCAAAGCCCATTGTTGTTTTCCTAGAAGTGGTTTATAACGGGAACACAAGAAAAAGCAAAAGTTTAGATTAATCCTTGTCCTTATCTCATCTCATCTTCCAGCAGGCAGTGCTACAAGGTCTTCTCGGAATGGACCTTTTGTTTTAAGAGCACTGTTAGAATGATCTGCCATGAATTTGTCTAATCCCTTTTTGAACCCCTCTTGTATTTTCGTATTCAGAAAATAAGTTTTACAAGTACGAAGACCTGATTTTCTAAGGTTTACATTTTCATAACACATTTATTTTAGGACATGTTCAAGAACATGGGTGCTCTAGCAGGTAGATTGAAACTGAACACTGCTGTAAAATATGGTCCCCATCTTTCTTCCTGTCCTCATGGAATCCTGCTAACCGGTGACTTAAGTGACGGGGAAGAACTGAGTTGTGATTTCACACTGATATGAAGTGTTAAGGCATCGTGTAGCCCAAAAGATGTCTGTCTGGTGGATGGGTGGATTTAAAGTCCAGTAAAATTATACCTTTTGTATAGTTTTTCTCTATTTCAGTTACAGTTCAGATCAGTACCTTTTCCTATGTGTAGGATAAATACCTATTTGTCTATCTCTTGTTAGCTCTTAGCCAGAGAAAGTTATGCAGAAATGATGAAAGGATTTGCTAAAAAGCTTTACTTATCGTCCTTGTTTCCCTAAAGTTAATGTCAAACCCTATGTTAACATCTATCAGGTCATGATTTCAATGAGAACAAGCTTGATACACCATTTGAGGTATGTATTCATTGCTACACAGTCAACAGACAGCATTATAAGGATAATCTACACTGTTGCGTTTCCGAAGTATATGATTTCTTAATTTCTTTCTTAAAACCCTGTCCATTCCTGAGAGTCAGGAAATTATTTGTGTACACTCAAAAATGTTGTAGTTGAACATGGTGTTGAACACACTGTCTGTGTTTTGTATGCAAAAAGTGATGGCTCTGAGTCCAGAAACTTCAACTTTGAAGAACAGCTTAGGATCAGGTTGTTTTCTGGTAGAATATCTTTGTCAGAAGAGTAGAGAAATTGATAGCTCAGTGCTGATGTAACTGTAGCTGAACAAACTTAACTTTGTTAGGATTAAGAATGAATTACGTCAACTGGCAGAGCCCCACAAAATTAAGACAGAGCTCTAAACCACTTAAAATCAGAATTCCCCCCTTACGTAATGTGACAATGCTAATATGTGTGGCGAGAAGTAAGAGTAAAGGAAGGAATTCTGAATGCTACCCTTTAATAACAATTAGGGCAGCATTTTTGTTCACAAAAGTTACGCATCTCCCATAGTTTCCCTTCAGAAGTAAGAATTATGTGTAACAAAACGATCTAACGTATCTTTGAATCCTTCCATGTATTTGGTAGAAAGTTTGCCAGTTGACCATTCTGACAGCTCCTACAATAAAACCCTGCTACTGTGTCTAAGTACTTTACAGTAAAAAAAGCTTAATTCAGTGTCTTCTGATTTCAGGTATTTAGAAGGGGTTTTGTTTGCAAGAAAAACGCTGCCTTTCAAATCCAAATAATAGTTTGAAAAGTCATTCTAATGGAGTGTTTGAGTAGCAGGAATTAAAGGACAATTGCCCATTATAGCTGTTCTGATCTTGAAAGTAAATTAGAACATCTCAAGATGAGTTAATCACCCAAGAATATGAATCTTTTTCTTCCAGGATTTGTGCATGTTCTAAATGTATCAGTCTGCACCGTTCTCTCTTCTTGACTGGATGTCACTTTTGTGCTTGTCACAGAAGCTTGTAGATTAATCATCAGTTTTACTAGTGATAGTGGCTTAGACACTTGGAATGTCAGGAAATACACAGATATGTTAATAAAGATTCTTAAAATGCCTTAGTAAAATAGCTTGCGATGCAGGCTGGCATGTCTGGTACAGTAGTAATTGAGAAAATACATGCTTTTCACAGAGATATAGTTTCTTTGGTTTGTTTTCTTGATTTATGCTGAGAAGTACATGGTTCCTGTTTAAAAATAGTTATGTTAATATAAAATTTGACCCCAGGTGTTCAAGAATGTGCTGTATTTCTTCCCCAGCCAGAATCATTGCCTTCATACACGACTGAGTATTTAGTAATGCTAATGGGTTTCACTGTTACACTTTTTAACAGCGGAATGTGTCGCTTTCTTCCCTTGTTTCAAATAGGTATGGACTGAATTAAGATGTTCCCTTCACATATTATAGAATAATAGTTGGAGAATGTTGACGAGAAATGTTATCCTGTTGTTAGCTCACTTTTGAAAAACATGAATTTATCTTTTCTTTTTTTGTCTCACAGCCTTCTTTCTTCAATAACATATTCTCCCAAATCAGAACGTAAAACACCTGAGCCTTTAATACCAGCAGACAGTGATAATGAAAAGGGGGAAAGGAATGGGAAGAAAGTCTGTTTCAGTGTGACAGGTGATGAACAAGAAGATTCTGGTCATGATACCATTAGCAACAGGGATTCTTACAGGTAACTTTACTAATAATATTTTTTTTTGTCAACTGAATCAAACCTGTGGGTTTGTAGACTGTCAAGTGGCTATGAAGACTATCAGAATATAATGATTCTGACATTTCTAACAGAGGAATAACTAGAATCAAGATGTGTTACAACATGTGTAAAATAAACTCCTTTATGAGTACAGATTAGTTATTAGATCTTGGTATCCCTAACCTTTATAGGATATCAGAGCCAGAGATGTAAAGCTTTACTTTAGATTACGTGTCTTATAAAAAGCAGAAATAATTTCTGTTATTATGTTCCCCAACAACAAACCAAATCTGCCATGGAGAGCAAAATGCCAGAACCACCACGCTTGCTGATCTAAAGAAAAAAAAATTATCTGTTTCTCAACATATATTCCTCACCTTCTTCCACTCTATGTTGTAGCATCATCTCATCTCTAGAATTCATAATGCATCACGTTCACTGTGAATGAAAATACAAAGAATTTTGAAAAGGAAGGAGTAATTAAATCAAGCATAGGTCTTATAAAGATTATCTTCTGTTGCTTGGAGAGAATTGGTTAATTACACGATATAAAACCTGAATTAAAATTTTAGCTGCAAGTAAAATAAGGGTTCATTATTTGTTCATTATCATGGTTCATTATTATGCTCAGAAAGTAGAATCTTGGTAGGGTCATCGTTTTTCTACAGAACCCTGTGTTGCCGAGATCTCTTTCATAAGCTAATATTTGATTACTGCAGCATGGTAGATAAGAATTCTTTGTCAGAGTAGAAACAGAAATATACGTATAAATTTGGACAGAAATAAATGTAGAGATAATTTGCACAGATTAAGTCCATCTTGTTCTAACCATGGTGAACCCACAAGCAAAGTGCTGTTCCAGCTGAAGCGCATTTAGCAGTTTCTGCATGTCCATGATGTGTCAAACTGACTGTGCAGGAGCTGCTCCAGTGGCCTGTGTTTGCTCCAATTGGGAAGTTCCCCAGTTAACACAAGATTTGTATGTGGAGAAAGAAGGTGTGACTTAGAACATGAGTGTTTCTTCGTTTAAAACATTTTCTTTATTCTGATTCCAGTCATTTATAGTCCATTCTGGCTGTTTAGGAATGATAAAATCTAGGGTTCCATATGCAGAATAATCATAAAGTCTGTGAGTTTAGAACAATTGTTGGAGTGAGATTGGAATTTTTTGTTTCTTTGCTTAAATGATTACATTAGACAATACTTAAAATCTCCAGATCCCATAATGCCACCGTGGTTATTATTAGAACTAGTAGGCTAATTTCAGCTGTTAGAATGCTCTCATTTTGTGTTGTAGGGTCTCATTCTAAACCTTACAATGCAACACAATAAATGCAGAATGAGATAGCTAATACATCTAATCTGTTTCTCATTTTCCTGTGTTTTATTTTCTCATGCTTTGACTTAAAATCTCCAGATCCCATAATGCCACCGTGGTTATTATTAGAACTAGTAGGCTAATTTCAGCTGTTAGAATGCTCTCATTTTGTGTTGTAGGGTCTCATTCTAAACCTTACAATGCAACACAATAAATGCAGAATGAGATAGCTAATACATCTAATCTGTTTCTCATTTTCCTGTGTTTTATTTTCTCATGCTTTGCACAATCCAGTTTTAAATAACCTTCATTGTCTCTTTGGAGACTTTAATAAGTGAATAGAGTTAGTCAGAAAACGTTTCTTAATATCCAGCCAGAAATTCTTAATACTCCTTGGGACTGTTCCCCCTCTGTTAGGAACATGTTGTTACTGATGTCTTCATCTACTTAATGGATGTGATTGTAATTATATCATATTGCTTCATTTAAAAGTTTTCTCCATTCACTTACCTGGTTGGCTACAGGTCCAAAACATATTCCTTAGCCAGGAAATGTAAGTCATTATGCAAAAACTAGTAAAAGATTACCTCTGTATTTACCAAAATAAAGAAAACATGTAGGGAGCACATGGGTACATGTATAACGGCAGCATTATCTTGGTGAATGGGTACACCCAATTCATGAAACCAAAGCCAGATCATTGTATATAAATATCCTTTAGATACACTTCTACATTATCTTATGTTCGCTTGGGTTTTTAAGACTCCCTCTGCTGGATAATTACTTAAGCATTTCCTGCATTGAAACTAAACGATCTTCATGTGGCTAAATAACTCTGAAGACTTTGAATTCAAATTTATCTTCATAGGATTTTTAGTACAGAAGGCTATGTTTTACTCTGTTTATGCTGCAGAAGTAGGTATGTTCTCCATCTATTTTCTGTACAGAACAATTTATTTTTGAGAGAAAAGCGCAGGAAAAAAATACACATTTTAATCCCCAGTTCTCCTTACTAGACCAATGTGGGTGAGATTTTTTATGCGTAGAAGTTTTCACTGAAGTCACAGATGTAAATGTCTATACATCTCTAAAAAATGAACAGCTGGAAGAGATGGGGTCATAAACTATATTTTGGCTGGCAGGGAAAAATAGTTTGTAATTTGAGTTTTGGTGTTACTCAAATGGATCAAATCTCTTCTACACCCATTATGGACTCTAGTTTGCAAGTCATAAACCAGAGTATTTCGTCATTTGTATTAGCTATGGGCTAGTAGTACAGAATTTAAATGTGGAGTTACTAAAACATTTGAGGCCACAGTTTCAAAAACTATCACTTGTGTAAGAAAAGTTGGTTGTTCTGCATTGAAAGTGTGTATTATCATTCTGCAGGTACTTGTTCACATGCAAGGTGAAGGGAGACAATTGAATTATCTATTTTGGGAATCTAGTCCTCTGAGGCCTACGAGGATCACCAATTAAATGATAGCCTAAGTATAGGGATCTTTATTGTTGATAAAGAATGGTACAGATCATCTCATCATTAAATTTAAAAGGGGAAAAGGGAAAGAATTTCCATAACTTTGATACAGAGCCTGTGTTAAAGGACATGACTTTATTTCTTTTTTTGTTTTGTGTTTTTTTTTCAAGCGATTGCAACAGCAATAGGAACTCCATTGCCTCATTCACCAGCATTTGTAGCAGTCAGTGCAGTTCTTATTTTCACAGTGATGAAATGGATTCAGGTATGTTTAGAAAAGTCAGCTATGAATCTTGTCATCTGTTCTTTTTATTCAGTTTTATTCTTTTCATTTGCCTGGCAGTTTTGTTGTTTTTGTTTTAAAAATTGCATCCTCCTTGGTAATAGAAATGTATCTGTGAAAGAGAGCCAACATTCCAGCATCTCTGTGAATAGACTGAATTAGTTAGAGCTCTTAGAGTCACTGCTTTTAACCACTTCCATGCCTTGATCTTGACAGTGCGTTATGTTGCACAGAGTAAGGAGCATTTTAGGTGAGTGTGGAATGCTCTCTCAGCCTGTGTCGGCACCCGGACAGCAGGATACGGCTGGTGTATGTTTGTAGGAAGGAATGTGAGACCACGTAGAAGCACATTCTTGTTTATGCCATGACAAATTGAATTTAAATAAATGCAGCTGCTAATAGCAATGAGACGGAATTTAGCTGCATGGAGTACAAGGTCATATACTTGGGGACTAATAATAAAAAATATTCGCTCAAAGATGAGAGTTTATCATTTGGGAATGATTTAGGAAAAGAAAGAACTGGGCATATTACTTGAATATGAGCCACCAGTGAGACTTGGCCATAGAGAAGGCAAATTTTATTGCTGTTCATACCAGGAGAGGTATTTTCAGTTGGGACAGGAAAGTATTAATGACATTATGCAAGGTATCTGAGATACCTTGTGAATAATGCAATTCTAGGCAGCTACTTTCCAGAAATGATACATACTTACAGAGCTGAGCAGATACAGAGGAAAGGATGAAGGACATAAAGAATTGTTAATAAAAGAGGAGACCCAGGGTCTGTATCTTCAACTTAAGATGTAAATGAGCTGATACACACTTGTGCAGCATCAAGCTGAAGTACCGAGGTGCCTAAAAGAGTCTGTCTGTGCTAGCTGAGCGCAGATGCAGGTTCGAGTTGATAAATACTGCTGCTCAGTGAAACTCCCACTCTCCTGACGACTTAATTTTCTCCTAGTTCCAAAGCTAACCTGGTTAACTCCAGATCAGGGCTCTTTGGCAGCGGGCTCCATCTGTGGCAATTAAAATCCTGTGAAGGGTTATAACTACTGGCTGTAAGGACATCTAAAGGAGCTTAAAAAAAAAAAAATCAAGGAGAGAAAAGTGCTATTTAAATGTTTCACTGACATAAGAAAAATGAGTCTAGATTGACCATGAATAAATTTGGATTATAAATTATCAAGTGGCTACTTCTTATCTGTCGCTGCAACAGCAAGGAGGAAAACCAGTTTTAAGCTCAATTTTTCACTGCTTTTGAAAGAGTTCAGGTTGCATCACCCGTTGTCTGAGAGAGCGAGTGACTGAGGGCAGTGACCTAGGAGACTCCTTCTCCTTTGTACTCTCTTAGGAAATGATGTATGTACTACTAAAAGCTTCGTATCAAATACTGGATTTAGATGCTGTATTTTTGTTGAATTACTAAAATCTCAGAACCGTTTAATTAGTAAGAACATTAAGATTGTGAATTGTCTGTAGAGTCCCTATAAAAATTTTATGGTGAATGCATTTCGGTGACTTTGTGGTCTGCTATATTAGGTTCACACTACTTAGCCATTTAGTCTGGTGTTTAAGATGTTCTCCAGCATAGAAGAATCGTGTGTTCTGGTCACAGAATGGTTGAGGTTTGAAGGGACCTCTTGAGGTCATCCAGTCCAATCCGCTGCTCGAGCAGGGTCATCTAGAGCAGGTTGTCCAGGACCATGTCCAGTTGGGTTTTGAATATGGTCCTTTCTCTAAGAGCTATTTCTGTATTACTGGGTGACTACTAAATGCAAAATATGTAGGGAGAACGATTACTATAATCCTGAAAGCCTAAGCATCAGGCTGTGTGCAAAGCAGATCATCTAAGCTACAAAGATTTCGGAAAACATGCTGAAACTTCTAAACAATTTTTCATTTTAAAATATTTTTCAGGCGATGAGCTTCCCATAAGTGTTCGAATCTCCCATGATAAACAGGACAAGCTCCATAGCTGTTTGGAGCATCTTTTTGGTCAAGTATGAGATTATTTTTCTTGGCTTTGATACTAATGTCCATGTTTGAGCTAAGATGTCTTTAGCAAATACTTCTTTTTCTTTTTACTTTTGCTTTCCACTGTTTACTGGGATGGTATGTATTTACTCATTCTCCTTCAGTTTTCTGTAAATAGTTCAAAACTGTGAATTAATCAGGTCCTTAGATTTAGTCTAACACTCCCTAGCTTGTTACTTTAACTAGAGCCGTTAGGTAAGAAAGAATCCAAAGCTGCTTTTCTGTAGTCCATATTTCTTAAAGAAAGAATTTCTAATTGTTGCTGTAAAAACCATCTTTCTCACAGAACCTTGATCCCAACAGGTCGATTCAATTGTCAATCTTCTGAAAGGACCAGCTGTGATGAGGGCCTTTGAGCAGACAAAATGCTTTACACCAGGTCGAGGCCTCCAAGGTAACATTTAATTCTATCTGTGAGAATCAAAAGGCAGCTTGAAGGGTATGTGGATATGGCTATCTACTCCTTGAGCTGGGTGTTAAGGAACTGATTTTGCTTAATCTTGGTGTATTCTGCAATAATTGGTTGTTGAAATTCTTGTTAAGTAGCTCTTAGTTGAAAACTGGCTTCTTACACTTTTATTGCACAACGTATGAAAGAATTTCAAGTTTGTTGGAAAGTCAGCTTTAAATTGTAGACGCTGAACTGACTATAGAATTGCTGAGGTTTTTGAAGCAAGAAACAGGTTTTGTATATTGCAAGTGTTTTTATTACATTTTTGTCCCAACTAGTGAAGCCATTTCTGATCTATTTTGTTACTAATGCTAGATTTTTATTATTTTTTGTAGATATATTGTTTGTGAAGTTGATTTATAAATAATTTGCAAGTGTAAATTTATAGTCACAGTAATATTTATGCCAAATATATGCTTATATAAGTATTATTGATTGTTTAAAAAAAAATCCTGTATGTAATTTCAGATACTCTGCTAACACTCACATAGTTGCTTAAGTCTAAGTGTATAAATAGGTATCTGGTGGTAGCCATAAGATTGTGATGAAAAATGCAAAGGACTTCTTTCAGTGAACTGAGTAGTATAAAAAAAAAAAAAAAGAAAAAAAGGGGGT